AAATTTATTGATAAGAAAAAAGAAGATACACCTAGACAGGGGGGGACATAAACCTAACCCCTCATAGAACAAGAGAAAAGAAATACAAAAAAAGGGGGGGACATGCACCTTACCCCTTTTGAGAAAGGAAATACAAAAGAGGGGGGGACATAGACCGTACCCCTCTTGGAAAAGAAAATACAAGGAAAAGACTGGGCGGACATAAGCCCAAACCCCTCTATAAACCTAAAAGGTAATAACCTGCAAGACAAGCTGCAAAACAAAAGGGAATCCAAAAAGGTTAGGAAAAGAAAGGAGAACACACATCAAGAAGAGGAGACAAACCTGTAGGTTGGCATGCCCAAGAAATCTGAGTGCAGAGGAGGAAGGATCTCTATAGGGGGAGTGGAATGCCAAACAAGTGAAGATGATAGAAGCCCTAAATTTGCTAATTTGTCAGCAACAACATTCCCTTCTCGAAAAATATGAGAGCAACAAAAAACCATGTTCTGCGAATGGAGAGTACAATTGTTCCAGCGTGTCTGGAGAGACCAAGGGGGAGAGAAAGATTTCAATCTTAAATTAAGTAGAGATGCAATTACTATTACTAAGCATTATTTTGCTTTCATGTTCTTGAGATTAATTCAGTAACCCTTTACTTTGTGGAAAAAAACATTCTTGTTGTTGTTGTCAATGTGTGGCTTGGCACTTTGCAGCATGTTCTTCTTCTAAGGAAGCGGTTCACATGGCTACACATCATTTGTTCGTTAAAATAAGGAATCTATAAAAATTAAGATTGAAGAAAAAATGCCCATCAAAAGAAGATTAAAGAAAAATAAATAAAGAAAACCCCCTCGGGTGACATTTCTTTTCCAATCGAATGATCTGTTTGAAATATGAATATTTCAATTGATAAAGGATATGATTATTCTGCAAAAGGATTATTGGTTACTTCTTTTATATTTCAAGCAAAGCTAATTAAATCAGCCGGCAACAGCTCAATGTTGTCAAGGTCAAGCCAACTTAACCTTTGACTTTCTTCCAAAGAAAATATATTAGACAAGATCACAAACACATTGCAATTAATCGACGAGAAATTTTTACATGTTTTAGTTTTGCATATTTTTCGAAATTGATCGACGAGAAATTCATATTGATGATGGGAGTGGGAACAATGTCAAATTTAATATTTTGAGTGCATGAATCAAGGCTTTTTCATTGCTTTATAACCATAGGAATAGGGAGCTGATCGACTGTCTTATAGCAGACTCCCCATAGGTTTTTTTTACAAACGGGATCGTTAATGGGTTAAATTGTTTTTGACTTAGAGGGGAAGAAAATCGGTGGGAATCGAACCCGGATCAGAGTATATAGACATAATTTTTCTTAATCACTATAGTAAATCATCATCAGCATAAACTCCTCATGGTAAGAAACCTTCTTGTTTTTACTATTGTTATTGATTAATTAGTATTACTATACCACCTATTCATCTACATTAGGGGCCCCTAATAACGGTGTTACAATAATAATAAATTAAAACTAAAACTTAGAACAATAAGAAAAGGCCGAGTCCGATCTCTTGTAGAATACAACTATAATGCAGATGACCGGGGATAGATAATGTCAAGAAATAAAAAATGGGAGAAAGAATGTGTATAGTGCACTTCCAGTGTACGAAGTTTCACTGGGCAATAAGCAACTCAATCCCCTTAAATGAACACAATAACTGTCTGCAAAAAATAGTAACTGCTAAAGTGCATAGCCCAGGCAATTAGTAATAAAATATTAGTATTTATTTTATTTTATAGAATAATAAAAGATAACTTTATTTTTATTTTCAGATAATAATAAAAAGTTAGTTGAAAGTATTCGAAAATATTAAAATATAGTGTAAAGTAGAAGAACATGGTTATGTATTTAGAGAAGACAAAATTATAATTTTTTATATTTTTAATTAGTTTTTTACGTCAGCCTTACATCACATAGGCAGGGCACTGGGCTACGTGATATTGCCACTTCTCCATTGGGCTCGCCTTGGGGCCAATTGCCCGAGTGAGCTGGAGTGTCTTGAAAGAAGAAGAAGGAATATTGGGTTGCATATCCCTAAAGCAATAAACAACGATGAAATTGCTCTTATAGATTTGCAACGAACAAGCCACACGCATACGCCACCACCATGAAAGCTCTTTCAAATTTTGTGTCTAGAAGGAAAAAAGAAACAAAAACAAAAGACAATGTCACATTACAATGTCAAGGCATAGCTAACTAGGTATCAACTTCACGAATATATCGTCATCGACATCCCAGCAAGTTGAGCCTTCTACCTCTTCCGACTAAATGAAAATAAGCCAACACGCTCCTCTTCGAATTCTTAGGCCATCTCCAACCGAATGATGGTTATAGAATTCTTTTTAGCCCTATAACCCTTTAATAAATTATATTTTAATGAACAATATCATACCATATTTCATATCATTTCTAACCGAAGAGGCCAAAAGATCATAGGCCAAACATAGCCCTGTAACAAAAGACTATCTCCAACCGAGGGACCAAAAGGCCATAGGTCAAATATAATTTATTATTTTAATTGAATTAATATAGTTAATTAAATTAAACTACTATATTAAAATAAGATTTTCGGACATATTGGAGTATTGAAAAAGGTGGCCATTTGAAAATTATTGAAAAAATTAAAGGAAAGATTATTGGAAGAGAATAGAATGTGAAGAATTGAAATAAAATGAGGTAAGATAGTATGGAATGGTAAAAAGTATGTGAGAAATGGTCTAGAAAAAAAATTAGAAATTTTAAAAATAAAAAAAATTCATTAAAAAAAAAAAGTTGGGCTCATCGGGCTGGCTGGAGATGGCTAGCCGGTTAGCCTGATTGGATGGTTTTGGCATGGTAGGGCCCACAAGCCCTTTGGCCTATCCCTTGGTTGAAGACAATTTTCGTGTCATTTTGGGCTATTTTTAGCCATATGACCATCTGGCTGGATCGGTTGGCGATGGCCTTATAGTGAGGATCCTGAGGATTTGTAAATTGTGTTCATTCATCGTCATTCGTGTGGTCAGTTTTTGTCAGATAATATATGTATTTAATTTTAAATAAAAATATTTAAAATAATTTCTGAACACATAATATATGATAAACGGATATGATTCAAGAATCCCGCAATCCTCACAAAGAGGATCCGAATTCGAAAATAAGTATCACTAACTCTACTCATAGAGGAGTCTATTGACTATACATTAATGTATAATATACATTGGGTTTGAAGTGGCTTAGTTTTATCGTTACATTTCTTGGAATTCTTTAGTTGCAAACCCAAACTATTAAATTAAGGACTTGTCTCACGACTTACGATTAATGAATTTTTTTACTGTTTGAAAGTCATAATCGGATCGTTCATTCTTTTTATCATAATCTAAAGATTATATATGTAAAAAAATTATTCAATTTTAGAGATCTTTTAGTCATTCATATGCATAAAATAAATAGACGATTCATCATGAATATGCTATTTGTTACCAAAGCCGTTCTGTAACATCCCACATCGACCAACGAAAAGGGGGTGATGTGCCTTATATGTACATGCCCACCTCCATATAGCACGAGGCCTTTTGGGAACTCATTGGTTTCGGGTTCCATCATAACTTCGAAGTTAAGCGAGTTTGGCAAGAGCATTCCCAGGATGAGTGATCCACTGCGAAGTTCTCATGTGAGTTCCCAGAAACAAAACCGTGAGGGCGTGGCCGGGGCCTAAAGAGGACAATATCATGCTACGACGGAGCCTAGACTGGGATGTGACAATTTGGTATTAGAGCCAATCTATCGTGTGGTGCGAGTGTGCCGACGAGGGCGTCGAGCCCCTAAGGGGGGTGGATTGTAACATCTCACGTTGACCAACAGAGAGGGTGTGATGTGCCTTATATGTACATGCCCACCCCCATATAGCACGAGGTCTTTTGGGGACTCACTAGCTTCGGGTTTCATCGGAACTTCAAAGTTAAGTGAGTTCGAGTGAGAGCATTCACAGAATGAGTGATCCACTAGGAAGTTTTCGCCTGAGTTCCGAGAAACAAAACCATAAGGGCGTGGCCGGGGCCCAAAGCAGACAATATCGTGCTACGGCGAAGCCAAGACTAGGATGTGACACATTCATTGGTTTAACGCATATGGATGACTAAACGGTATCCACATTTAATTATTGGGGTGTGATATCCACACACCCCATTTTACTTCTCACACACCTTTTTAATTTTCAACTGTCCGATCGGATGAATTGAAGAAGATCAACAGACAAAAATTATCAAGAGGTGTGTGAGAAGTAAAATGGGGTGTGTGGATAGCACACCCCTAATTATTTTATACAGATATGATCTTCAGATGATGAAAAAGAGAATGAACTGTTCCGATTTTAATATACAGACACTAAAAATTTGTTAATCATGAAGGGAGACAAGTAAGTCCTCCTATACGGGGACATAAACATTATCCTTATAGATTAAGGGCTCGTTTAGATGTGCTTTTAAAATGACTGAAAGTGCTTTTAGAGAAAATGTTTTTGGGTTCCAAAAGCACTTAAAGTGCTTTCTGCAAGAAGCACAATTTTGGTGCTTCTCCAAGAGCATTAATGTTTTTTTTCAGGATTTACTTGCTTTTTACAAAGGATTGGTTCTAAAACTTTTTACCAAAGTGCTTTAGTCATTTAAAAAAGCTATCCAAACGAGCTCTAATTTCATGGAATTATTAAATCAAGAGTAAATGCTAGGGAGACTAAATTTGTAGACTAAATTTGTAACTAATTACATGGAATTGATTAATATATTACTTAAACATAACATGCTCCATTTTTTTTTTGATACACACATTTTAGTTTATAAATTTAATCTACAAATTTTAATTTTTCTAACGTTACTCTAAAATCAGTAACATTAGGCCTCCAAATTCAAGCGCGCAATAATATTCTAATTGAAGCTCCAACTGTATCTTCTTGGTTACTTTGCCCTCCATTCAAAATTTTTTCCTCACCGAGATTCTCGCTTTCTTCACTCTCTCTCTCTTTTATCTCTCCTTCCTAAATTCATTCCAAGCTCTCTCCGTTTCTCTCTCTCTAATTTTTTTTTATTTTTATTAAATCCTTAATCCCATGACCGCCGGCCATTTCGATCCCACCACCTACATTGTACGTGTTCTGCTTTTATACGCAGATCCATCATAAAACCAAACAACAATCCATCCCACAGAAAACTGAAGGACCCAATGGCCGGAGCAGTAGCCGGCTGAGTCGACCGTTCATCGGAGCTACTGCAATTGCTCAACGACGTCGTGGGTGCGAGCAAATTCGCCGACGGCGTTACCGGCGTTTTTCAGAAGGGCTGCACCTATCTAATCCGTCGGATTACCCTCCTGACGCATTTGTTCGAAGGGATAAGGGTCTTTAAAGGCCGCAAATTTGGACCGTCGGATGCGTCGACTTCTTCCACGAATTCCAGTCCGACAGAATCCTTGGTATCTGAACTGGTGGTCGCCCTCCAGGCCGCCAAGCGCCTCGTTTTGCTTGCCGGCAACTTCACTTCCAATTTGGCCCCTCCCGGTCTCCACCAATTACAATGTACATTTTCTCTCTCTCAAGTTCATATTTTGCAAATATTGTTGATTTAATTTTTGTTTGAATTAAAGTTTCGATATTTTTATAATTAAAAGGACGAAGCGAGCAAGAAGATAAGCTTCCAATTCCAATGCGTGACGTGGAAATTGGAGAAGGCGCTGGGCGACAATACGTCGACAGTTCGACATCTCCGAGGAAGTTGAAGAACAGGTAACTGACTTTAACTTAAGCCTGTCAATGTTGTTCTACTTCTACTACGTTGCATGTTTTTCACTGTAATGAATTAACCTAAAGTTAATAACTCATTATTATTTAGTTTATTTTATAATTTAATTATAAAAAATTTCAATTTTTTTTTGCAGATTTTAGGTTGAATTGGTTAGAGCCCAGTTGAGAAGAGCAATAGAAAGATATGGGTCTTCCATGAAAGAGAGAACGGTGTCGTTTCATTCCCTCTCCTAGTCTCTGGTGGAGTCTGGAAATGTAGAGAACAATGCAACGACGATTGGCAGTATTCCCAAAAGCTTTAGTGCTGATTCTGCTGATGACATTGTGATTCGTAAATCCGAAACCCTTCGTGCTGCTGACTCTGCTGATGACATCCATGTTGATGATCGTGGCGATATCAAGAAGCCTGATGCCAACTCATCTGCAATTCCTGACGATTTTATATGCCCAATATCTTTGGAACTCATGAGGGATCCTGTTATTGTGGCCACAGGTCAGGTGTGTGTGTGTGCTAAAAATGCTATCTTTTATTCTTGTTTTTCGTTCATCAGAATTCAGGGTTTTCCTTTTAATAGGTTGATGCCTAAAATTTGATACTGTATATGCAATTTATGTTTGTAGACGTAGCGTAGATGAATCTAAAATACAGAGATGGGTAGAATTTGTGGTAACACACATGTCCGAAAACTCAGCAAAAAGTTGGTGAATTTGACACTAATTCCGAACTATGTTTTGAGGGTTTGAAATTGCAGCAGTGGTGTAAACAGAATAAAGAGCACTAACGGGAAGGATCAAGAGAGTGATGGATCATTCCGTAACATTACTGGGACACAGCGAACGATCAAGCTTGGTACGCAGCTCTCCAGTCGATCAATTGAGGAGCGGCAGAGCTGCTGCAGCTGAGATTCGATCTCTTTCCAAAAGAAGCACTGACAACAGAATACTAATTGCGGAAGCGGGTGCCATAACTGTTATGTCAACCTATTAACATAGAAGAATGGACTAAGACAAAGAATCAGTAACTTCCGTTCTGACAACTTCCTCCATATACTGAGCAATAAATGACTCATTAATGCTTGCCGGTGCTGTTCCTTCAGGTCCGAGTCCTCAGACCCGGAGCATGGAAACGAAAGAGAATGCAGCAGCAACCTTTTTTATTGTATGGCGTAAAAAGATGCTTCAACGGCATTGCAATTTGTGGCATTTTATCAGGTAACAAGGCAGGGCTAGTCACAGCCTTACTCAAGATGCTAACTGATTCAATCATGGTCGATCAAGCACTGACTATCATGTCAGTTCTTGCTAACCACCAAGAGGCAAAAGTAACCATTGTATAGGCCGGCACCATACCTGTTTTGATAGACCTTTTGCGAAAAGGTCTGCCCTCGTAACAAAGAGAACGCAGCTGCAGTTTTTCTTGCCTTGTACAAGAGAGGTAAAGAGAGCCTCGCCTGCATAATCAGGCTTGGTGGGATGATGCCCTTGACAGAGCTCGCAAGGAGCGGCACAGTGAGGGCCAAACGGAAGGCTACTTCGTTGTTGGAGCATCTTCAAAAAGTACAGCAGCTATAACAGGCACGGGGTGTAGTACTTGTAGTGCCAATAATAAGTTTGATTCTTCTAAAATTTTTTGGTTTCTCAATGAATGTTAGTTCCACTATATTCCATTTGTGGTGAATACGAGCTTGAGACGGCTAAGTTTTCTCAATCTTTGTATAATATTCATTCCTTTCTTTTCTTCCTCCCTTAATATTTGCGTAAAATGTATCATTTGATGCTTCGTTTGCTGTCACATTATTTACGTCCAAATGGCTTGCTTTCCTGTTCGACCACAAATATTAGTTTTATCTTTATATGGCAAAATTAATCATAATCAAAGCCGGTCCTAAGATTTTGAGGGTTAAAATTTTAATCATAATCAAACAGAGGTCCTTATAAGGTCTAAAATTTTGGTTGCTATATATATTCTTTTATATTTATATTTTTTGGATTGTGTATAAATTGATATAACACAAAAGAAAATAAATAAGTGTAGCATGGTGTAATGGCTAAGTACCTATCTGCATCCCTTAAATACAAAAACAATTAAAAAAACATAAAAAAATGCGGTGCAAGAGGTATTCGAACCCCGGTTGGAGCTATAGAGATAAAAAGAGCGAGACGACTTACGCTAAGAACTTAATTTGGTTAGTTAGTGCACCATTAAATATATATACTTTATATACATGTAAAATAATATCATAAATTGAGGGTCCTCCAAAACTAGAGGCTTTGTGTGGTGACACCACTTGAACATTCTTGGAGCCGACTCTGTCCATGGTGTAGCTCATAAGCGTCAGAGCAATGGTACTAATGACGTAGTCGATTGCTCTAAGAGAATATTTTTTCCATCTCTCTCGGTCTTAATCAACTCACAAGGCAACAAATTAAAATTCACAAAACAACAAATTAACATCTGAGAACAAAGCTTTTATATTAGCCGAATCCATTGTTTTCTTCGTTGTCCTTATCGGGATGGGTGGTTAGATCAGTAGAACTGTTGGAATGGAAGTCATAAGCACGTTTATTTGATTAGATGGACACACCCAGTTTTCCCAGACTAGGGTGTATTTACCTTCAAGGTCAATAATCTCGTTTAATCGATAAAGCATGACTTCCATATGAACCAATGTGAACAAAAGTAGTCCATTTTGTGCCGCAAAATCATATCAAATAATCAATAGCTAAATTACAAAAGCTAAAATGTAACAGTTATGTAACTTTTCTACTTGCAGCTTTTCTTTTTGTCTTCTTGTTTCCATCGGTCTCAGTTCATAATTTTAAATGGCAACTATTATTAACACTTAAATATTATCAATTTGCACTTTTCTCTAGGCGAAAATTAAAGAATTGGATTCTATTTGGATTCATTTTATGGAATCCTAGGATTTTCACATTTTAACCATTCATTATGTATCGTGTTGTTAGAAATTATTTGATTTTTTTATTTAAAATTAAACACAAAATAATATTGAAACAAAATGACTGCGTCCGATGTACGATGAACAGCTAGGATGTAAGAATGCCTAAAATTCTTACAAAATGGATCCTGAGAGGATCCTCTTCCTGTTTAGATTGATGCGAGATTCAATAACTGTTTCTTTTAAAATTAATTGTATATTAATTAGTATGAAAACCCTAACCACTAGGTCAGAAATTCAGAGCTAGAGAAGGAGGGAGTTCAATTCCTCTTCTTTTATTATTTGTAACAAGTTAACTACAAGTTGCAAGAAGCCTCTGACCAATAAAACCATGAATACAAGGATGGCATCCTATGCTCACTTGAAGCTTGAACTTGTCAATTGTCGTTTAATTTCCCATGTTTTACATTTCCATGCATTTCATTTTCTACATATAATTGCGTGATAGTTTTTCAAATTCCAACTTGATCGGATGGATATATTGCAGTTGTATACGTGCGTAGCAGCCTTTCTGCATGTTGAATTTGAATTAGACAAGTATCCGCATGCAATCAGATATATACGAGCTGCAGGAATATTAGCTTTCTGAGTCAGTGGAATTTCAACTTTTCTTGTCTTAGATAACATGTTCGAGAGAACTATTTCTTCCAAGTTGATGAGCGGACCATCATTTTGGACCCAGTATTATACTAGTCTCAGTCTCCGAGTAGTAAGCTTAGTTGTCCACATTAGCCAGGAGAGCTTAATAACTAATTACTTGGATAGTGATATAATATTAAGGCATGTTAAAAAGAGGGCTTAATCATGATTACTTCAATCTGATGTACAGGCTTGGGAAATGTGGTGCGTTCTGTCTATTTGTTCAACTTTAAAAATCAATGTGGATGATTAGAATATATATTTTTTGACAAAATAGAAAGTATTTTTTCATTTTCATCTCAAATAATACATAGGTATTAATTGGGTACAATACTCTAGTGACCAAGAAAATAATCTGGATGTGACTTTGCACAAGCAAGACAACAAAAGTAAACTCCTAGACAGCTACCATATGTATGAAAACATACACTTCATGATACAAAACTATCACATAACGATAGATATAATATATTTGTATCAACAATTGTAAAAAAATCATCACCGGATGCCACATAAAACCATCGCGGAAGCGAAACCACGTGAAAGTAGAAATATAGTTTAACACCGGACTTTGGTTTTCTAGCTGTACTATGGAGGTAATGATTTGGATATTTTAATTGTTTGTGTTGTTCTTATCCGCTTTAGTTTTGACTTTGCATATGTTTGTGTTGTTCTTTTTCGTTTTTATAGTTTTGATAAATTCAATCTTCTACACGTGACAGTGTTGAAGTTTGTAATGCTTTGTTGATTTGACAAAAACAAATCACGAGCTTAATCAAGGATTAGTCTTGATGACGATGAAATCACGTTTTCCTAACACGATTTTTCTATTAGTCAATTTTTTCACATGATCATATCAAATCCAAAGAGAACTCTTAAATAATTCCCGCCGTGATTATCGTATACTGTTTTCCCTTGAATATAAGAACAAAATATGATTGAGCTAATCATCTTTGTTCCACACATCACGGATTTTTTGGAGAGCATTATCTTCTAAAATATGGAATATAAGGTCGTTAAAAAATATTAAAATGTTAAATTAGAAATATAGGATCGATCGAAAGCGAAATCATACGTACTTCATGACATAGTCAAAAACCAAAATTTAGTCGCTTTTTGCCTTCTTTGTTGACCAAATACATTTACAAATTACAACAACTGCCCATAAAATGTCCTATCTGATACCCAACATGGTGAGAGCTTTATACTTTTGGCATGATAAAAGGCCAATCAAAACATTAATCATCGATCCTAAATTAAAAATACAATCTTCCATCTTCTGAGTATATGTTATAGCAGAAATAGAATCCAAATATTTGGCCAGTAAGCTATAGCTATGGGAAACAGCTTGGGAGGCAAAAAACGTGCAAAAGTTATGCAAGTTAAGGAGAACATTCAGTTGAAACACCAGTGCAGCGGTGAGGTTTGTCAAAATATTCCCAGTCATGTTTTGCTAAAATCATCGGAGTGAAGCATTTCGGGGTTCGGGCAAAGCGTTGGAAACCCTACCAACAGCTTGAGCAAAAACAGGTTGTATTTTCTGTGGAGGCCCAAGTTTGATGTTAAAAAGAGAGTTTCCGAAAGGGTTCGTTCTGAATAACATGAGTGCTAAAGGACAGGCTCGAAAGCCTTAATGCTTTCTCGAGGTCGGTTTCGGACCTTTCGGTCATGAAATCATCGGCATGAACAAGCATTGTGCCGAAGGAGGAGGCGAATGGGCGGTGGGCGTGAGGATGAGGCTTCCGAGGCAAAGTGGAGAATTGATGCGTCAAAGTGAGACGACGCGAGTCGCTCAGAGATCATGGATTTTGCATGGTGAACACCATCAATGTGAAGAGCAATGAATCCAAGGTTGGGTATGAACCCGATAACATTGGAAGGATGAAGGAAGATTGTCCTTCGAGTTCAGAGAATCATCGGGTTCAGGTAGGTTTCTGAGAAAACATCGACCTGCTTGTGCCATGTGGTGGTGTTGACATTTTTTGGTTAGGTTGGTT